GATGAGAGTGAGGGGGAGATTTCTGCAACATGAAACTACTATCCACATTAACTACATGAATATTTTAGCATCTACAGCACAAATACATCAGTCGATAATCAGACAAAAGACATGTCTGAAGCCTTCAACCAGTGATTTAAAGGGGCCACACATGCTTTATGGCTACATACACAAAATGTTAGTGTGTCTTTTATTGCTTACTGCACAGTATATACTGCACTGCTATTTGCATGTTGAGAAAGAGAAGTTAAGAGTCAGGGTTGATAATATATCTGATTTATATATCATACTAGACATGGAAAATCAAGTGGAATAACTGGGATAAAGTAGGCCTATTGCTTGCAGTATGCTCCATTTTATACTGTATATTTTGGCAAATGCTGTACTATTTTATACTGGTATCATTCCATTTATATGGAATTTGCATACTGCATTTGCATACTGTGAATAAATGATATACACTGTTGATAATAGTAAGAGCAGAATGCTATTTATAACACAGACTTTAGGGCACTGAAAAGTCAACATGAAGCTGCTTTCACAAGCCATTTTAATTTAGTATAATGTGACACATTTCTGAGTGAAACTATTTAAAGGATTTTATCCATTGGTAACTGATTGTATCATGAAAAGTGCTGTTTCTGTGACAGTCTTGGTGACATCAACCTAAAAGCAAAGTTTCAGAGACTGAACAAGATATGACCCATTGATTATGAAGACAAACATTTGTTTTCTTTGGAAGAACATCCATCAATGGATCAACGTAAATTTCACAAAACTTAATAAACAAAAAAAAATCTGTAACTTTTTAAAGGGATAGTTCACCTTCAGTTGGTCCCTATTGACTTGCATAGTGTTTGTTTTTTCCATGAAAGTCCATAGGGACCAGCAACTGAAGGTGAACTATCTCTTTAAGGACCCCTTTTCCCCCCTCGCACACATACTAAACATTTTACAGTTTGAAAAGACCTATTTTTAGTTGCAAATTTGAGTGAAACAAAATCACAATGGCAGGTCGTTGTAATTAAATATTGATTTTTTTGTTGAACTATCCCTTTAACAATTAGAGAAGGAAGGTGTATTAAGAATGTAATTTGATTTTATGCAGGATATTGCATAATACTGCAGCTATACTGCAAAATGTGCATAAAAACATTAATATCAGTAATAAAATAATTAGTAGTGGTGGTGTTACACTAACATTAAAGAAGAAAAATACAGTACCTCTTCTAGTAAACATTCCCTTTTCAACTGATCAGTGCTCACCACAGCAAGGACAAGTGGTGCTTGTTTGAAGAAGTGATTTTCTCTCAGTGTGTAAAAATGAAACAGAGCTACACACAGTTCATGCAGAGCAATGATGCGTTATGTTGATGACGGAAATCACATGCACAAAGTCAGTGCAATGAAACAAACTATCCTAAAACCACAGGCGTCAAGTTTCTATTAAAGCTGCTGTAAGTGATTTCAGCCACACTGTTCAAAAACCCATCCAATCTGCTAACAAAGCAACTTATTCATGAACAACCTGAACAAACTAAACAAGTCATTCATGAACGAACTGCACAAACAACAAAACTGTACGTGAACAAGTATTTTCTTACTGAACAAAAGAAATCGAATCTCATTTAAAATAAGAAAGAGAAGAAGGGATTATGATTGTGTTAAAATGACTAATGTCCAACAAATAAAATGACAAGGATATTATTATTATTATTAAAACTATTAATTCATTTATGCCTTTTTCCCCACATCTTGATAAAAGTCATGCCCAAGAGTGGACAAAATGGAGGGAAAAAAAGACATGAATTGTCGTCATTTGTAGCAAAGTGCTTACGAGATATATGGAAAAACTAATTTGAATATATATGGCTTAGTATTTGTAATGAATCGGTTAAGTGAATGATTCAATGATACACAAAAAATGTTCAGTTTTTGCTAATGGTGCAGATAAAGTTGATAAATTATGGAGGTCTGTTTCCGTCACTGAATATGAAATAAAAAGGTAACTGACTCTTTATCTCCCAATTCTGACTATTTTTCTTGCAAAAGCAAGTTAATATCTCTCAATTCTGACTTTTTTCTCTGAATTGTGGGATATAGGCCTAAACTCGCAACTATGAGAAAAAAAAAAGTCAGAAATGTGAGTTTATATCTCACAATTCTGACTTTATTTCTAGCAATTGCGAGTTTATATCTCAGAATTCTAAGTTCTTTTCTCAGAATTGCGAGTTTATATCTCACAATTCTGACTTTATAACTTACGACTGTTATAAAGTTCAATTCTGAGGGAAAACTTTTTTCTCAGAATTGCGGGATATAGCTCTAAACTCGCAACTATGAGAAAAAAAAAGTCAGAAATGTGAGTTTATATCTCACAATTCTGACTTTATTTCTAGCAATTGTGAGTTTATATCTCACAATTCTAAGTTCTTTTCTCAGACTTGTGAGATATAAACTCAATTGTGAGCTATAAAGTCCAATTCTGAGGAAAAACCTTTTTTCTCAGAATTGCGAGTTTATATCTCACAATTCTGACTTTATAACTTACGACTGTTACAAAGTCCAATTCTGAGGGAAAACTTTTTTTCTCAGAATTGTGAGTTTATATCTCACAATTCT